ATCGATACGCATACCATAGTTAGTCGAGTGGTTAAGTTCAAGATAAATTTCTAGCAATGTAGAAAAACGTTTCTTAAAATGCACACACCGTAGTCACCGCGCATTTGTCAATTGTTGTCACTGGACAGGCTATAAATAACGGTTGCGTTAAAGAATAACAACTTCCGCAGATAATTTTCAATTTATTCAGAGAACACAAAATACGTAGGAGAAAATCTAATTGTTTCACGCAATAGAGCGAACACTCAACTGGTGGAAATTACAAATTATGTTTCTCGTTTTAATGGTACAAACGAAATCATTTAATAAGATCCTTCATGCTCGCTCGGAGATTATCTCTCATGTTGCATAGCAGAACTGTCGTTTATGCGATCCTGTTGCACCTTTTGAGATCTTTTGGATGCAATTCAATTTTCTATTTTCTGGTATTCAAGATCACTTTGAAATTGAATGATTATTTTTTGCTGGTGACCATTGTCGCAATAATTGTTCTACGTGCGAGCAAAATATAAAATATTATATTATATATATTATATTATATATATTATTATTATTATTATATTATATTGTATATATATTATTATTATTATATTATATTATATTATATATATATATTATTATTATTATATTATATTAATGTGCTGGTTGCTTATTTCTGAAGATAGTTCCACAGAATATATATACAATAATATTATAATGTAATAATAATAATAATATAATATATAATATAATAATAATAATAATAATATAATATATAACATAATAATATATATAATAAAATAGAATTTTTTATATCGTTATTATCGTTTCATAGTCGCCAAATTTGAAAAGCGGCACCAAAGTTATCGACGAAAACGCATCCACGCGATCAGTCACGTTTATATCCAATTTTTTAATCCCATCACCACCGACATCTACACGCGAGCAATAAACAATCTCACGTCCAACAATGAAACCGTTCGACAAACAGTTGCAGGTACCGGCCACCGCGAAAGGGATCAGCATAATAAACTCGAACATCAGCAGAATAAAGACCGATGCGTTCAAGCAATACCCCTCGTTGCTGGAATTGAACATAACCGAATGTAAAGTGGAAGAGATCGAGCCGGACGCCTTCAGAGGCCTGGCCAATTTGCAAGTGCTCGGCTTGGTCGGCAACCGGATCCGGAAGATCGACGCCACGTGGATCCGGGGAATGCCGGCTCTGAAGTCGTTGGACCTGTGGCGGAACCGTATCGTCGCCGTCGACGACGAGTTCTACGAACTGCTGCCGGAGCTGACGGTTTGGGACATAGCGTACAACGAGCTGAACACGTGTCTGCCGCCGGTGATGCTGAAGAAACTGACGAAACTGCGGCGGATCTTGATCGCCGGGAACCCGTGGAATTACCGGTGCCGATCGTCGATGACCTGGTACTTAGGCAGCAATCACATTCGTTTCATCAAGGACTGGAGCATCAGCGATCTGCTGATCGAGGAATGCCTCGCTCACGAGCCGGGCGCGGAGGAGGACGACGCCGTTTTGAATAAATGCGTGGACCGGAAGGTCGGCTCGTCCGACACTTTGCCGTATTCCGTGGCCGGTTTGAACGAGCAAGTTCGCGAGCTGAGGAAGAAGGTCGTCGATCTGGAAGCCGACGTTGCCGCGTTGAAAAAATCGAAAAATTAATCGGGAAAGATTAATAAAAGCTCAGAGCTTCGTCTTGAACAAGAGGAAGCTCCAGAAGCTGGCAGATCAGCTGAAAGTATGATTTAAACTCGTTTTTCCCGAAACCACGTTTTTCCTTCTTTTTTAATTGATTGCCATGACATCTCAAGATCTATTCGACCGATTTCATCGAACAAGCTCCCATTAGCTAAAACGCGAAGTTGTCGTTTTAATTCATGACATAACTAAGAAGCTCGATAGAGCACCCTTCGCGTCTTCGGTACAGTAATAAATTCTCCCTAATCGACGCTCAGTTGTGCACAAAAATGTACAATTTGCACAACAATGTATAATTGTTGATGTGTCGCGCGTAATTTCGATGATTATCGAGGTATCGAGGATGAAACGGTTCTTTCTGTCTTTCCTTTTTTGTGATTCGAGAAACGATCTGTCGGTAGTATCGGCAGATTTGCGATCCGCGAGGAAATATTTACGTTAAAATACGCCCGTGGAAATTTTTGACGTTGTTTATTTCGTTTACGGAAAAGCGATTATTTGCGTTATTCTCGTTTATAAAATAATCGAGATCGCATGACTCTGTTAATAACATTGTTAATATGCATTGTTGGGTACATGGAGTTCGTATTATTTTAAATATATGTTTACGAGTAATAGTGTTCGAGTATTATGAATGAATGCTATCCGAGTATTATAATTGATCATCTGGTATTATGTGAACTATGTTACACTTGAAATTTTGTTGGCACACGTTCTTAAATATACGAGCCTGCGTATTTTTTCTTTTTAAATTTTTTTTTTATTTTGTTAACATTTTTATAAAATTTGTAGTCAATTTTCTTTTTTTTAAAAAAAGCTTTGGAAACGAGAAGGAGTCCTTTACGATATCCTAACTCTTTAAGTATTGCGGAACTGTTTGTTCGAAATTAGATCCAAGCACAAGTGGCGAAATTTGGTGCCTTTTGGGTGAAACATCTCTACGAAGAAAGTTTGAAAGTTTTTTTACTAGTAAAAAAATTAAAATTGATTTCTACTATAACTAATTGCAAGATCGATGTACAATGGACAAATAAAACAGTGAAGAAGTGTTACACGGATCTCAGAATATTTTTATAATACCTTCGTCTTATTGAAATCATCGCGAGAAGGAACATAAGTTCAGTTTAACTTGAATTTCTCATAATGAACTCGTAATACTTTTATTTTCTGCGAAGATCCGCAGTGTAAGTAATGAATAACATAAAAAACCAACGAAGTTGACCGAACTTTGTCGACGCCCTCTGATTTCTTACACAAAAATGGACAATTCGGGGAGAGGAGACACGATTATTCGTGCCTTATGGCTTATTTTTAGAATTGTTTCGTAATCTGAAATATTTCTATCAGAGGACATTGTCGAATTCGAAGATAGAATTGACAGTGCATAAGGCACAGAAAAGGATCAAAACACATCTTAAGTGCAGCTTAGAGCATCTGATCCAGCTCAGAGCTTCGTCTTGAACAAGAGGAAGCTCCAGAAGCTGACAGATCAGCTGAAAGTATGATTTAAACTCGTTTTTCTCGAAATCACGTTTTTCCTTCTTTTTTAATTGATTGCCATGACATCTCAAGATCTATTCGACCGATTTCATCGAACAAGCTCCCATTAGCTAAAACGCGAAGTTGTCGTTTTAATTCATGACATAACTAAGAAGCTCGATAGAGCACCCTTCGCGTCTTCGGTACAGTAATAAATTCTCCCTAATCGACGCTCAGTTGTGCACAAAAATGTACAATTTGCACAACAATGTACAGTTGTTGACTACAATAGTCAACAGACTATACTTATATAGACTATATCAATATATTATACTAGCATTATATTATAGTAGTATAGTAATATAGTAGTATAGTAGTATTAGTAGCTGTATAGTATTATAGTAGTATTAGTAGTAGTATATTATAGTAATATAGTAGTATTAGTAGTAGTATATTATAATAATATAGTAGTATTAGTAGTAGTATATTATAGTAATATAGTAGTATTAGTAGTAGTATATTATAGTAATATAGTAGTATTAGTAGTATAGTATTATAGTAGTATATTATAGTAATATAGTAGTATAGTAGTATTAGTAGTAGTATAGTATTATAGTAGTATATTATAGTAATATAGTAGTATAGTAGTATTAGTAGTAGTATAGTATTATAGTAGTATATTATAGTAATATAGTAGTATAGTAGTATTAGTAGTAGTATAGTATTATAGTACTATATTATATTAGTATAGACTGTACACCGAATACTGTGCTTCAGATATTCTATCAAACAATATCAGGAAGTGATTTGGTATATTTGTTTAAAATTGCTTACAATGCACGCAGCCATTGAGAATCGGTAACCATAATCGGTACCTCGTCTCCCCAAATCGTCCACTTTCGCACGAAATCCGCGAGCGTCAATTACGGAGAATTTACTATACAACAGAGCCAGGATCGCGTTGTCAGCACACGGAACGTTTACGATCGCGTATCGAACAGCATCGATCTCGACGAAACAACGCGACACCGCGCCGCGTCGGACCTGCCGATGATTCCACGGTATTAGCCGACAGGCTAAATCTAAAGATCCGCGGCCCGATACGATTTCTCCATTAATAACGCGATCCCATCGAGGCGAGTCGAACGCGTGACGGACACTGCTTGCGGTGCAGTCTTTCCTCTGGGCGTCGTATCAGCTGTATTCTCGATGAAAATCCCCCGGCGAAATACAGGTTCTGGGAGATCCGCGCGCACCCGCTCGCGCTCGCGCGCGTATATCGGTGGCATCGGCGTCGGCGGCGACGCCGGCGGAGCTGTTAATATCTAAGCACCTAAATCACAATGGCACGTCATACGCGCCGGACCGCGTTAAATCACGATGCGTCTAGTAGCTCATCCACGGATCTCGCCGATTCTACAACGCGGAGGGACAAGAACATTCCGACTCCGGTTAGCCGCCATTCATCACGCGGTCCGCGGCGGCGCGGCGCGGCGCGGTGCGGCGCGGAAAAAAATGCGTATCGTACACACGCGGACGGATCACGCTCGGCCGCTCGGCGGCCGCTCGCGCGAGCGCACACGCTCGTGAGATCTTTGACGCGGTTTCCGCGGTCATTAATAATGCCGCTCGAGGCGGCGAGCCGCGCGAAAAAATACCGGTGCCCCTTCGGGGGTGGGAGCGAGAGAGAGAGAGAGAGAGAGAAAAGGGGCGAACGGAGGCGGCAGGGGGGCGCCGAACAGGCCACGGAGGGGCCGCGACGGGGCCCCCCAGGTGGGGATGGGAGACGCGGACGGGGCAGAAAAGAGGATATATCGGGGCAGCAACGAAACCGGGAGTAGACAGTTCCGACACGATGTGTGTGGAACTGTCTGTTGCACGGTTTTCAACCGTTTACCCGGCACCGCCGACGTGCGCAGATAAGTGTGCCCCCGCCCCGCCCCCCTTCAGTGCCCAGCCGGATTCGACTCGCTAACGAGAACCAGCAACGCGAATTCTTGAATCGCCGATCGGGATCTCGGTCGCGGAACTTTTCGAGCGGTCTTCGTGAAATCGATCGTTGCCGTAGGTGTCGCCTTTTAGATTTTGCGGTGCTAGGAAGTAAGGGACGCCGTTGCGAAGTTGGTCCAGAAAAGTATGCGGGAGATTATGAAACGTTTGCTTTAACCTTTTAGGCACGACGCGCCACTATAGTGGCTTCCGCGGATGTCATCTTTCGGAACGACACGCCACTATAGTGGCTTTCGTGGATGTCATCTCTCTGGACGACGCGCCACTATAGTGGCTTGCTCTAGTAGCTCACTCGCTCATCGTTTGAACCAAATAATCGTCTTCATATGCATTGTTTCACACTTCTTTTGTCTTCGCATCGATTTACAACAGTCTACAGGGTGTCTCAAAAATGTCTCGCAATCCGGAAATGGCGGGTTCCTCGGATCATTTGAAGCAACTTCTTCCTTTACAAAAATGTTCTCCGAGGCACCGTTAACGAGTTATTAACGAAAAACAGTGTCCAATAAGAATCGAGTACGGCTGACGCGAGGCGGCCCAGCCAACCAGCGCGCGAAGCCCGGTTCCGCTCATTGGCTCGATCGCCTCGCGCCAGCCGAGCTCGCCTCTCGTTGGTCACTGTTTTTCGTTAATAACTCGTTAACGGTGCCTCGGAGAAAATTTTTGTAAAGGAAAAAGTTGCCTCAAATGGCCCGAGGAACCCGCCACTTGGCTAAAGTCTGATGTCCCCTGATAGGGGGCATCCAATTACAGTAATGTCTCTCTAATTGACGCTTAGATTGTGCAGAAGAATAGACAATTTGCGAAGAGGAGATACGATTATTCGAGCCTTGCGGCTCGTTTTTATAATTGTTGACAATCGGTAACTACAAAAACGAGCCGCAAGGCTCGAATAATCGTATCTCCTCTTCGCAAATTGTCCATTTTTGTTTGCAAGCCGAAGGAAAATTAAGGAGAATTTATCAGCGTGAATCCGTTACCCTTAAAATTGAGATAAACAACGATTTCGCTAATTAGCCGTAAAAAGTAACAAGATCAAGAGGTCAAGACTTTCACAATTAAAAATATGAACGAAGCCTTTATGCGTCTAGAGAAATTGTTAACTATTATGGAAGAATGCGACCCCAATGGAGAACGTATACAATACCTGTGATTCACGTTGTCCGCTCAGAGGGAACATTCGACCGCAAAGGCTTACGAAGTTGAATTTTTTCAAATGTGCGAAATAGCGAATTGTGCGAAAGTAGAATGCGCGAAAGGCCGCCTATAACCGGGGTAGTGGGACCAGTTACTGTGGGCAATCGCCGTGGCTTCGATTAATTTTCAAGCACAATTAACTTTGTATTTATCAAAGGAGATTTATTAAATGTTTTATTTGAACTCGTTTAGTTAACTTGTTTATCAAAATTAAATACATAAAAGACGGAAGTTCTTAAAATACCATAGAAATTGTTTCAATTTTTTGACGTTTAATTCAAGATATTTTTTGCGAAGTTTATGAAAATGATCAAGATAGTATCGAACGAATGAAGATCGATATTCAATAAAATAGATCGTCCTGGATCCGCAGAGATCGTACGGCGAATCTTAATAATATACAATAATTACATGTAATTGCAAACAATTTCGAAATTGAATTTCTAGTAAACTAGTTATTGAAAAAAAATCCCCAAATTTAAATCATTTTGAAGAAGGTTCGTTTCGATATAATTTTAGATTAAAGATGGAAATATATTAGACCATAAGAAATGGACATAGCTTTTCACATTTCCTCAGAAGGTGAAATCATAATCTACGTGTGATAAAAAGAAGGGTAAAATTTGGAATTTGTTCTTAAACTCTCCGATGGGGTGCCTCGGGCCCAACTTTGATCGACACTGTGGAATCTCGCATTTAAATCCTAATTTCGTAATAGTCAGTTCAAATCATTAGCTGTTTGCATTAGGTTCTATGTGAAAAGATCAACGTTGATCTACAGAATTCCACGCGTTGATCTAACCTGCAACAAGGATTCCTGGATCCAGATTCTTGCGGACGGTGTTATGTGTTTGATCACGTGTTTGCTTATCATCTATTGGTTTGGTGCATGATTAAACCTTTGCCTTGCAATTTAACCCCTAACCTAAGTGTCGATATATCGGCTTCCCGGGATTCCAGAGAAATACGATGATTGTACATTCCGGCCTTTCGTTCTCAACAGAACCTTAACACTTTACTTAGAGCAAACCTGTTTTAGTAGACTTTTTATCTGAGCTCTATATGCAAAAGGAACTGTCGACAATTTTCTTTTAAATAATAATAAGAACGTGTCGAAAAGAAAAATGCTAGACAAAGTTATAAATGATCCTAAGCATACTATGCGTATTTGTCAAAAAGATCTGTCGTTCGTGTGTTAACCCTTTGCACTGGGGACTATTTTTTTTCAATTTCAAAATGAAGACATTTGTTTCAACCTACAGAATTTCCATTTGATACCATGGCTATTATTTCATAATTATTTGAAAATTTATCGAATACAGGCAAATTTAATAATGTGAAAATTCTTTCAAAATAGTGTCGCAATTTTTGT